AGGCCTCGGGACACCCGGGCGCCGGGGGAGAGGAAACGCAGGGCCGGTCGCGCCGACCGACAGGCTGTCTCGACTGTCGTCGCGGCCGCCAGCCCAGCAGGTGAACCGAGGCTCAGCGAGAGCCGGGCAGAGACAGGACTCAGCCCGCTTGTTGACTGCAGACCCCATTTCTGCCAGCCGCCACCCCATCTGCTGGGCTCCCAGGATGGGGTCCTGAGCCTGGCCTGGGGCGGCGGTGCCCAGTCCTGCCTCCTTCCCCTGGCCCCTCGGGATGCCGTCGAAGGGTTTTAAGACCTAAACAGGTGTTTAAATCGCAGAAATGTGCAAAGGCTGAATTTTCTCATCCGGATCCTCACAGATGCTCGGGGGTGAAATTGAATCCCAGCGCGGAGTATTTGCTCTGGAAACGACGTGTGTGGGGTTGTACGACAGAATAACTTGGGCTTTGTCCTGACTCTGTGCCGGTAGTGATGGCCCGACCCCCGTGGGGAGGTCCACCCAGGCAGCGCAGGGCTTGCCCCCTCCTCCAGAGGAGACCAGGCTGCGGATGGGGAAACGTGAGGGCAGAGCAGGGAGAGTCAGCCCTGCAACGGGAGAGCGGGGGCTCGCCTGCCGCCCCTCACCTCCCCTGCAGCAGCCTCTCCCCGCCCTCTTCTCTGTCGCCTCCTGCCTATGACTAGGAAGACCCAGAAAAGGATGTCAAGGCCCTGGCCAAGAGCATGCTGGGGCTCTGGTTCAAATCCTTCCTGCCAGCTGTGTACCTTGGGCCTCTCCCTCCGTACGCTGGGGGGAATAACTGCGGCATGGCTGGGAGAAATCCCTGTGAATTACGCCAAGCGCTTGACCAAGGCTCGATAAACAGAAGCCAGGAATTGTGTTAGGACTGGGAGTTCCCAGGGCAAATGGCATCACCCCTGCTGTCCAGCTGTGGGGACAGAGGCCATGGTACAGAGCTCAGGGAGCACTCGGCCACGACCTCACCGGAGCTGGAGTTCTCTGTGGCCCGCTCTGGAGCTGGGAGGAGGAAACAGAGACATGGGTCACAGGAGGCTGCCAGGGCAGAGGACATCTCCACCTGGAAGTCGCCCTGACTGGCCCACCATTGGAGCTGCCGCCACCCATGTTTCCTGGGAGCCCTGAGGGCAGAGGCCATGCCTCCCTCAGCTCTGCCCCAGGTACCCACGTCGGGTTTTGTGAGTCCAGAGGCTGGGTTCTGGCCCCACCTCCGGCCCGGGCTCGCAGTGTGGCTTGAGCACTCCTGGGCCTCCCTGGGCCCCAAGTTTCCTGTCAGTGTGGTTGGGAGCTGACCACTTCCATGGCCACCACTGTCTAGGTCCTCCAGCTCTTTCAGAGGCCGTTTAAGAATAGCTGTGTCTTCCTGTCTGTCACTCTCCCAGCCAGCTCCCATCCCCAGCTCAGCATCTCCTGCCCCCAGCCCCTTCCTCACTCATTCATACTTTCATTCATTCTCAACCTTGAACTGAGCCCCCACCAGGTACCCAGTCTGCGAGGAGTAGGTGGCCTTGCCTCTCCTGACCCCCGTTCTTTGGGATACAGTTTTATTTCTTGTTGGGAGAGGGTCTCTGATAGGTGCTAACTGGGCTTTAACACCTGCTTGACTGTGCAAGGGGTTGGGCAGGAACTGGGAGCTGGAAATAGTTTATCTGAGTGGATGGTTGTTGAACATCACCAGGGCCACCGTAGACAGTTGCACAGGTTGTGCACTGCACAAGGGCACTGAATGAGCTGGGGCTGAGATCCAGCCATGTTCCCACCATGGAGCCAGGCATCTGCTATGGCCCTGCATCCACCCACATGGGGTACCCTTTCTAATGCCCAGCCTCTCAGGGACGGCCTCCCCTGGACCAGGGAGGGGGCTTCCAATGGCGACCACTGCCCGATCCTCAGCCCACATCGCTCAGATCCCTGGCCTCCCTGCCTTTCCCAGACCTCGACCATCCCCCAGCAAGCCCTGAGTGGTGGGTTCTGCCCCGTCGTGCAGAACGGCCGCCTTTATCAGGAGCCGTCCTCCCTCTGGTGGTGCGTGATACCCAGGAGATGGAGTGGCTGCCACGGGAAGCGCCAGCCACGCTGTTATCTGGGAGCTGGGGCTGCCAGCCCTGGGGCGCGATTAGGGGCCACGGCAGTTTGTCTGTGGTGCAGCGTGGGCGGGTGTGGGGGCTCACTGGCTCTGCCCCTTCCTCTGGGGGGCTACCAGTACTGGGGATGAGCTAGGACCAGGGCTCTGAGAGAGGGGCCTCAGGACCCCACAGGTGCAGCGAGCCAGGGGTAGACTGGGGGCCTGGGCCCCGCCGTGTCCCTGAGTCTGTGTGGGACTTGGCCCGCACTGGGGAAGACTGGACTGATTCCCCACTCCTCTGCCCCCCGGGAAGGTGGGCGCCGGCCTCAGATGGACGGCACTGTCTCGTACTGGGGGGCCCAAGCCTGACAAGCCAGGAACAGGCCCTGGACACTGAAAGGAAAATATGTGACGGCAACAGAGGGAGTCGTGGTCACTATCCCTGGCTCGTCTGTGGTCCCAGCAGCACAACTGAAGTCCAGAAAGGGTGTGGGCCGACCCCATGCGGCTTAGCGCAGGTCTGGCTGTCTGGACGGGCACCGGCCATGTGTTGGGAAGCGGGATGATTCCGCCTTGACCCCACCGTCCTGAGGGGGCGGATGGGAGGGGGCAGGTGGTACCCAGCTCAGCCCACGGTGGGCTCCCCAGCCAGCCTCAGAGGGAGAGCGTGGACCCGTCGGATGGCTGGCCAGACCATTTGGATGGACAAGTGAGTGCCCAGCAAACCTGCCTTTAGACAGCCTCTCCCCACACGCCCACGCCCTGGGGCCAGCTGGGCGGGGTACCGGAGACCCAAATATACCCAGGACAGCAGCGGCCCGGGCTCAGATCCTGGCATCCCACTGCCAGCTATGTGGCCTCTCGGGGCCTCAGTTTCCTCATCTGTATTGGGGGGGGGGACCAGGAGAGGGCCGACATCATAGGGCCATTCGGGCAGGAACGGGCGACCGCATGCCGGCTGGCACCCTGCAGGCCCAGGGGAGGGGGGGCGCCATGGGCAGAGTCCTGGCTGGGACCCTGGCATCCTGGGTGCACAGGTAGAGGACACGGCCCCTTGTGGGCGGGCTGCAGAGTGACATGGCCGGCCTCTGTCCCCCTCGCTGCGGGGCCGATAAAGGGCGCCGCCTCCTGGCCACGTCCTGGTCCCCTGCCATCTTATCTGCCCTGGGGAAGACAAGGACCCAGTTAGAACATTGTAGCCGGGCCTCCTGGTGTATTTACACGTTATCTGTGCCATTAGGCCGGCGGTTATCTGATAATCGGGCCCATTAAGGCCACAGCCCGCCCGATCGGGGATCCAGGAAGCGGGGCCAATGCAGCAGCGCTTGCTCGGGGCCCAGGCCAGGCCACGTGAGGCCTCTGTGGGCCCAGGCAGCCCAGGTGGCACCCGAGGCACAAGGCGGCCCCGCCCTCCTGGGCAGAGGGCGCATGGCCTGGGGAGCGACTGCCCTGGGAGGGCATGGCCGCCGTCATCCCCTCGGCTTTGAGGACACTGAGGCTCGAGACGGCAGGTAACGTGCCAGGTGTGCGTCTCCCAGGGCGGCCCGGGCAAATTCACACCACCTTGCTGCCTCGAAACATCAGCAGTCTACTCTCTCACAGCTCTGGAGCCGGAAGTCCCGAATCACGGCGTGGGCAGGGCCGCATTCCCGCAGAGGCTCAGATGCAGCGTCCCCCCAGCTGTATCCCACCAGTCCCCGCCCCGTCTTCAAGTGGACTTGTTCCTGTGCCTCTTTTTTTCTGTGTGTCTCTTACGAGGACATTTGTCATTGGCCGTAGGGCCTACCGGATAATCTGATGGTCTCACCTTGAGATCCGATCTCAATCACATCTGCAAAGACCCAAACAAGGGAACATTCCCAGGTTGTGGGCCACGTCCAGCACCCCCCACAGGTCACGTGGGTCGTGCGCTGAGGCCGGGCTGAAGCTGGGAGCCCACCTGCAGACCCGTGCGACCCCAAGCTCCCTCCCCGTGAGAAGGGCTGTGGTGGGGCTCCTGGCAGAGGCTGGTCTGTCCACGTCAACGGAACCGAATCCTGCCAGGGGCCGGGCACAGAGGCCACTCCCCTAGCTGACACAGGAGCCACAGCCCGGGCCACGCAAGCTGGCAGAGTCCGGGAGCTTGGCCCTGATCACAGCACAGGTGGCCGCGGCCCGCGAGCCTTAGGCCCTCAGCCGGGCGACAGGCCGCTCGGACAGGCAGCCGCCGACCAAGGGCCTCGGCAGGAGTTGGGTCCAGACCTTTCCAGAGAGCAGGCGGGGGTCCTGCAGGGAGTGATGCTGGCGCTACCCGAGCGCAGTCCGGCTGTGCCGAGGGCCTCGGCCAGCAGTGGGCGGGGGAGGGGAGGAACACTTGGCTCCAGGCCTGGCTCCCCATGCTGGGCCCTGTGCTGAGATGCTAAGAGGATTGGGAGGTGCGGGGTCCCAGCATTTCACAGCTGCCCACACAGTCGTGCTCTGCGGATTCTGGGGCTCAAGCTGATGGGAAGGGGCTGGGAGGACCGTGTGGAGGGGACGGGAGGCGGTCTCAGCGGCGTCATCATCCTCCACTCTGTGCCTGCCCCCACGTGAGGCAGTAGGGGTGACCCGGCTCCATGTGTGCGCCCTAGGCTGTGCAAGGCACGCGCGTCCCAACGCAGCCGCCAAGGTCCCGCCGAGCGGTGCGCCCACCTGCTCAGTGCAGCTGCAGGCGCCCCTGCTGTCCTATCTCTGCGACCTGCCGTCCCCAGAACAGGTCTCACTTCAGGGGCTGGCCTGGCCCCCAGGACCTGGCACCAGCCACCATCCCCGTAACCTGGGCCAGGGCCACCCTCCCGCTTCTGCCGTCAGCCCCCCAACTGCTCCCGGGGGGGCGGGTGCCGCAGGACGGGCTGGACCTGGGACCTGGACCTCCTCACACCTCTGACCTCTCTCCCCGCAGATGAGCTGAAGCTGCTGCTGCAGGACGGACAGAGGTGCGTGCGGGCTCGGCGCAGCCTCGCCGAGGGCCTGTCCTGGGGCCCGTTCCGCGGGAGCATCCAGACCAGAGCCTCGTCCCCCGGGCAGGCGGAACCGGTAAGGAGCCCTGACCCCGGCCGCAGCGGCCAGGACAGTGTCTGGCCCAGGGCACAGGCCCCTTCAGCCCCCTGAGCCAGGCCCGGGCTAGACTCCCGTGCAGAAGCAACTGCCACTCCACGTGAAACATGTCAGGAGATGCAGGGAGGAGTTAACTGCCTGGGAACACAGGGAGGGCTGCCTGGAGGAGGTGATGCGGGGCCTCTGGGACCTCGGGGTGACACAGGGAGGGCTGCCTGGAGGAGGTGAGGCGGGGCCTCTGCGACCTCGGGGTGACACAGGGAGGGCTGCCTGGAGGAGGGATTCTTTCAGCAGGCACTTAATGAATGAGTAGACGTTGGCGAGGCAGAGAAAGAGAAGGGCTTTCAAGGGAGGGAAGCAATAAGGAACCAAGTGGTGGGACTGGACCTGGCCTGTGGCCTGTGGCTGGGGAAGCAGACAGGGACTGCCCCCCGGCACTGGGCTTCATGGGTGGGGCCACCCCTCGTGGTAAGCGAAGTGGTTATTCGTTGCGTTTCCGCGCCTGTGGCCCCCAGACAACAGGGAGAGGGCGCTGCCTGAGCATCTCTAGCGCGTGCTGACGACCCCTGGGCTGTCGTTTGTCTCGGGGTTGCTGCTGAGCTGCTCTCAGTTGCTGGCAAGTCGGTGTGGCGTCCTCTCGCGAAGGGTGCAAACGCTCATTTTAAAACACGTTTCGGCTGAGCGAGCGCGTTGACGCATGGGCAGCAGGTGTGGGGCGGTGGCATGGGCACGTACGGTGTGGTGGGAACCGGGAGGGGCCTGTGCTGGATGAGAGTTCATGGTGACGCCTGCCTGGGAGGCCGGGCAGCACCCGGCTTGGTCCCCTCAAGCCCAGGCTCAGGTGCCCCAAATGTGCAGGCACAGCCATGGCCTGGGCCCTTCTGATTCCTAACGTGGCGTTCAGGTGTGGCAGGTGCCCTGTGATGCTGGGCCTCGTGGGCCTCTGATGGGCCTTCGCTGGCAGTGGCAGGGCTGTGGGGGGGCTTCCCGCCAGCCCTGCGCCTGGAGGCCAAATGCTGCCTAACAGCTGGGACTTGGCCTGCAGCAGGGCTGGTAGAGAGCCGTGGGCAGGATCCCCAGCGGCAGCTCTCGGACTACAGCTCACAGCCCGCACGCACTCCCGTGTGCAGTGAACCCTGAGCCGTGGGTCACGCTGCCTCAGAACCTCAGCGCTGGGGCCCGGGCCTCGGGAGATTGGAGACGTCTCAGCTGAGGCCTCTGGGCTGCCCACGCTGCCTCTCCCAGCTGAGTGGCCAGGTTCAGAGGGGCGGTGCTCACCCAGGCCACTCAGCCAGGGGGTGGGAGGCAGCCCAGGACCGAGGGCCCCCACTTTCAAGGCCAGGCCGTCCCCATGGCACAGGGTCCAGGTCCTGGGGTCTCCTACCCTGTGGCTGTTTTGCCGTGTGCCCCCAGGCAGGCCTCCACCTCTCTGAGCTTCTGTCTCCTCAGCCTTTGGGACCTCAGCGGGGGGGACACAGGGGAGCCCTGAAGGGTCCTTGAGACCTGCAAGGTCCTGCAGACCCTGCAGCCTCCCCGCTATAGGCAATGAGCTCCCCGTCACTGGAGGTGTACAAGCAGCAGTCGACTCTTAAGAGAGAGGGTAGGCCGTTGGGGGGAGTTAAGAGGAGCTCCGTGACTCTCGTGTCTGGACTCTTAGAGAATAGCCGTAAGCAGTGATGGGACAAAGCCGGGATGGCTGAGGACTGGGGAGCTCAGTGTGTCCTGAGCAGGGCCTGCACCTCTCTCCTCTGCTCCCTCCTTGGGGACAGTCAACCCCTTCCAAGATGGACAGTTCCAAGTGCGTGTTCCAGACGCACTGCTGTGCGCCCATCCTTATACTCGGCCCCTCGTTTTCTCCACCCCCCATGAGGCGGGTACTGCTGTTCCCATTTCCCAGATGAGGAAACTGAGGCTCCAGGAGGTTAGGTAACTTGCCAAAGTCACCAGGACCAAACAGCAGAGGGGAAATCACTATTTTCCTAACCACAGAGACCCCTGCAGGACGGGGATGGGGGGCTGGAGATGCCCGCACCAGCCCTGGGATCCCCACCGCACCCCCACCCCCAGGCCCTCCCCTCCCGCCTGCAGCCTCCTCTCTGGGGGTTTTGTCCTCCTTGGGCCCAGGGCGCAGGTCAGCCTGGGGAGACTTGGCGTGAGGTTGGAAACCCTCTCCAAGCGGAGAGATAATCCAGGGAGTGCGCCAGAGAAGCAGGCCTCTGAGGCTCTGAGGCTCTGCAGAGGGGCCCAGGGAGGAAGGAGCTGCCTGCTCTTCCCTGCAGCTTTATCTCCTGCAGCATTAAATCCTTGATTAACCCTTATCTCCCCAGCAGGCACTATCTCCGCCTTGGCGCCGAGTGTCCAGACACACGTACAAGATGATTGATTTCTTAAAGATATGCGTGCCTTTCCGATACTTCATTTATTGTCTAAATATTTTCACTAACATTTCAGCAGGCCCCTTATCGAGCTCAGCTGATGGGCCCCGGTTCTCTCCCCCGTGTACTTCCCGCCCCTGATCGTCCTGTCACCCGCCAGGCAGTTTGTCTTCGCTGTTTGGAGAGGGAAGCGGGAGAGGGGCGACGCTGGGGTGTGGCAACCCTTTCCCACTGGTCTCCTCAGGCCCAGGCTGCTTGCAGGCCATAGGGGAGGCAAGGAGTCTCCCCTCACAGTCCCTGCACACACTGGGCTTCGGGTGTGGTACCCCAGAAAGGACACAGCACGCAGAGCCTGCCAGGAGTCGAGAATTGGTTCTGACACCAACTTGCTGTGGGACCTCAAGGTCCCCCTGGATCCAGGTTCCACCACAGAAACCCAGGGCTTGGAGGTGCAGCAGTTCTAAAACTTGTACCCAGCTGCAGAGGAAATGTTCAGGATGGATGGATGGGTGGTGGGTGGAGGGGTAGATGGTGGAGGGAGGGATGGATGGATGGAGAGACAGGTAGATGGAAGATGGATGGGTGACGGTAGATGGTAGATGGATAGGTAAAGGTGGGTGGATGGTGCATGGACTGGTGAGTGGTGGATGGATGGTGGATGTGTGGATGGATGGATGGATAAATGGATGGTGGATGGATGGTGGGTGCATGGATGCGTGGATGGATAAATGGAGGTGAATGGATGAGTGGTGGTGGATGGATAGGCTGGTTAGTGGATGTGTGGATGGTTATGGACAGATGGACGGTGGATGGATGGGTGAATGGTGGATGGACGGGTAGATGGATGTGTGGACAGAAAGATGGTAGACAGATGGGTAGAAGGTGGATGGATTGGTGGAAGATGGATGGATGGGTGAACAGTAGATGGACACGTAGATGGAGAATAGATGGGTGAATGGATAGATGGACAGGTAGATGGTGGATAGATGGGTAGAAGATGGATGGATATATGTACAGGTAGATGTTGGATGGGTCGGTGGGGACAGGTAGATGGATGGATGAGTAGAAGGTGGATGGGTAGGTGGATGGTTGATGGAAGTGTGGATGGTGGATGGACAATTAGAAGGTGGAAGGATGGGTGAATGGTGGACACATGGGTGGGTGGATGGATGGATGGATGGTAGATTGCGGGGGATAGTGGATGGACAAGTAGAAGTTGGATGGCCGGGTGGATGGACAGGGGAGAAGGTGGCTGCATGGGTGGGTGATTGGATGTGTGGATGGATTGGTGGATGGTGGGTAGAAGGTGGATGGAAGGGTGCATGGTGGATGGATGGGTGGGTGTGTGGAGGTGTGGATGGATAAATGGATGGCAGATAGACAGGGAGAAGGTAGATGGACGGTGGATGGACTGGGAGAAGGTGGATGGACAGATAAATGGCAGATGGATGATGGACAGTAGATGGACGAGTAGCCAGTGGATGGGTAGGTGGATGGTGGATAGATGGGTAGATGGATGCATGCACAGGTAGATGGTGAACGGAAGGCTGAATGCTACATGGATGGGCAGAAGGTGCGTGGATGGCTGGATGGTGGATGGACAGGTGGATGGTTGATGGAGGAGGGATGGTGGATGGACGGGTAGAAGAAGGATGGTGGATGGGAGATGGATGGATGGACAGGAAGATGATGGATGGACGTGTGGAGGGTGGATGGAAGGGTGGATGGTGGATGGATAATTAGAAGGTGGAAGGATGGGTGAATGGTGGATAGATGGGTGGATGGATGGACAGGTAGATGGTGATGGATGGATGGTAGATGGATGGGTGGAAGGTGGATTGCAGGGGATAGTGGATGGACGGTGGATAGTAGATGGACAGGTGGATGGTTGTGGAGGATCAGTTGAGTGGATATTGAATGGATAATGGATGGTGGATGGACGGGTAGAGGGTGGTTGGAAGGGTGTGGTGGATGACGGGTAGATGGTTGTTGGAGGAGTGAGTAGATATTGGATGGAAAAATGGTTGGTGGATGGTGGATGGACGGATGGATAAATGGTGGATATGTTGATGGTGGATGGATGGGTGGATGATAGATGAACGAGTAGCAGGTGGGTGGATGGATGGGTGGGCAGGTGGATACGTGGATGCATAAATGAATGGTGGATGGACGAGTAGATGGTGGGTGGATGGGAGGTGGGTGGAAGTATGGATGGACACATAGATGGTGGATGGATGGGTCAGTGGTAGATGGACGAGGAGCAGGTAGTGAATGGTGGATGGACAGGTAGAAGGTGGATACATGGGTGGATGGCGGGGGGAATGATGAAAGGATGGGTAGAAGGTGGATGGATGGGTGGGTGAGTGGATGAATGGGAGGATGGATGGATGGACAGGTAGATGGTGGACTGATGGGTGGAAGGCAGAACGATGGGCAGAGGTGGATGGATGGGTGGATGGGTGGGTTAGTGAATGTGTGGATGAATAAACGGATGGATGGTGGATGGATGGGTGGATGTGGATGGATGGGTGAGTGGATATGTGGATGGATAAATGGATAGTGGATTGCCATGTGGATGGTAGATGGAGGATGGACAGGTGGATGGTGGATTGATGGGTGGATGGTAGGTGGACCAGTAGGAGGAGGATGGATGGGTGGTTGGTGGATGGATGGGTGGGTGAATGGATGTGTGGATGGATAAATGGATGATTGGGTGGATGGATGGACGGACAGGTAGATGGTAGATGGAAGGTTGAATGCTAGATGGATAGTCAGAAGGTGGATGGATGGCTGGATGGTGGGTGGACAGGTGGGTGAGTGGATATGTGGATGGACGGGTAGATGTTAGGTGGATGGGTGGGGACAGGTAGATGGTGGATGGATGAGGAGAAGGTGGATGGTTGGGTGGATGGTTGATGGAAGTGTGGTTGGTGAATGGACAATTAGAAGGTGGAAGAATGGATGAATGGTGGATACATGGGTGGGTGGATGGATGGATGGGTGGATGGTGGATTGTGGGGGATAGTGGATGGAGAGTAGAAGTTGGATGGCCAGGTGGATGGACAGGGGAGAAGGTAGCTGCATGGGTGGGTGATTGGATGTGTGGATGGATTGGTGGATGGTGGGTAGAAGGCGGATGGAAGGGTGCATGGTGGATGGATGGGTGGGTGTGTGGAGGTGTGGATGGATAAATGGATGACAGATAGATAGAAGGTGGATGGACAGATGGATGGTGGATGGACGGGGAGAAGGTGGATGGTGGATGGGTGGATGGTTGTGGAGGAGCAGTTGAGTGGATATTGAATGGATAAATGGACGGTGGATGGACAGATAAATGGCAGATGGATGGGTGGACAGTAGATGGACGAGTAGCCAGTGGATGGGTAGATGGATGGATGGACAGGTAGATGGATGCATGCACGGGTAGATGGTAAATGGAAGGTTGAATGCTAGATGGATGGGCCGAAGGTGCATGGATACCTGGATGGTGGACAGACAGGTGATGGTTGATGGAGGAGGGATGGTGGATGGACAGGTAGAAGGTGGATGGACACATGGATTGTAGATAGACACGTGGATGGTGGATAGATGGCTGGATATGTTGGATGATGGGTGGATGATAGATGGACGAGTAGCAGGTGGATGGGTGGGTGGGTGGGTGGATGGATGGATGGGTGGGTGGGTAGGTAGATACATGAATGGTGGATGGACAAGTAGATGGTGGATGGACGGGAGGTTAGTGGATAGATGGGTGGGTGGGTGAATGGATGGACACATAGATACTGGATGGATGGGTCTATGGTAGATGGACAAGTAGCAGGTAGTGAATGGTGGATGGACAGGTAGAAGGTGGATACATGGGTGGATGGCGGGGGGAATGATGAAAGGATGGGTAGAAGGTGGATGGATGGGTGGGTGAGTGGATGAATGGGAGGATGGATAGGTAGAGGATGGATGGATGGATAGGTAGATGGTGGATGGGTGGATAGGTAGATGGTGGATGGATGGACAGGTAGATGGTATACTGATGGGTGGAAGGTAGAACGATGGGCAGAGATGGGTAGATGGGTGTGGATGGATAAATGGATGATAGATGGACAGGTAGATAGTGGATACATGGGTGATAGATGGACAGGTGGATGGTGGGTGGACGGGTGGATGGTAGATGGCCGAGTAGCAGGTGGATAGTTGGGTGGATGGATGGACGGACAGGTAGGTGGAAGGTTGAATGCTAGATGGATGGTCAGAAGGTGGATGGACGGCTGCATGGTGGGTGGACAGGTGGATGGACAGGTGGGTGAGTGGATGTGTGCACGGATAAAGAATGGTGGATGGACGGGTAGATGGTGGGTAGATGGTTGGATGGATGGATGGACAGGTAAAAGGTGAATGGGTGTATAGGGGATTGATGGGTAGAAGGTGGATGGACGGGTGGATGGTGGATAGATAGGTGAGTCAGTGGATGTGTTGATGGGTTAGTGGATGGTGGATGAATGGGTAGAAGGTGGATGGATGAGTAGATGGTGAATGGATAGATGTTGGCAGGATGGGTAGATGGATGGATGAACGAACAAATGGGCCCTCACTCACTCGGCCCGTCCGTCTGTCCAGTTGTCCTCCCACGGCTCACCCACTTTAGCCACGAGGCCACCGTGACATCAGTGAGAGCTGGGAGGGTGCCCCCTGGATGGCACGCAGGGCAGCAGGTCTGAGCCTGCCTGTGAGGCTGACGTGGGACCATCCAGGCCCAGCTGACCGCACGCAGATGGGCTCTGAGCGGTGGGGCCCCTCCAAAGGCCGCTGCCAGCGGTCATTGCCTGGCACAGCCCGACTCCCAGCAGGATGATCCCGGGCCAGGGGGTGACGGGGCTGCGGTGCACGAGCCCGGTGCCCTCCTGGCGAGGCCCCTCTTCCTCTGGCTGTGATAGGGAGTAATTCCCAAGGGAAGGCACTCAGCCCAGGCGTGGTGCATCATGGGTCTTTCTTTGCCAGATGGGGCCATGCCTTGAGCCGCCCATGTCGTGCTTCTCTTGGCTCATGAAACGTCTGGTGCCAAGGGTGGAAAGCCATTGCCTCTGGCGATGGTGAGTGGGACGCAGGCGGGGGCTTCTCAGGACACGCTGAAAGGGAGAGATGAGTGCAGGCCCCGATCAGGGCCTGCCCCAGGTTCCCGACCTCCCGCGAACCTGCCCGCAGTGCCCTGGGGAGGCGTTCTGCAGGCCCCCACCTCCCCTCGACGCTACTTCACGCGCTGTATGGCGAGTTTGGGAACAGCCTCAGATACGGCTGTCACAGCGGATGCGGTAGAGATAGGGTTTCTGATGGCTATCAGCGGGCACAGAACCCAGACACTGACCTCTTTGTTGGGGGAACAAGGAGGGTTCTCAGATGCACCCAGAGAGTTTAAAGTGGCCGTCCGCTGTCCCGGGGCTGGGTGGGGCAGCCTGGAGTCAGGAGGGAGGGACAGGGCGACCCCCAGGACTAAGGCAGGGTAGGGGCCAAGCTTTTTTCAGACGCCGCACCCGGCCTGTCTGGGGTGAACCCCAGACCCAGCAGTGAGCCTGGGGCGCCGGTGGAGGGGAGGTGGCCGGCAGTACACACATCTCTGATCGTTTTAGGCTCGCACCCCGCTGCCCACGGGCAGGGCCAGGAAGGGAACCTGCCTCAGCCTGGCGCCTCCGACCACCAGAGAAAAGGGCTTCTGTTCCAGGGCTGCTTGGAATTGGGGGATGGGGGGAGAAAATAAATAACGGGGCAGGGGGGCGAGCTGTAGCCCTAGCGCACGGCAGGGTCCAGCTGCCCGGGACAGTGCGCGTTGCCACCCCACAGGGACGGGGACAGGGGCAGACTGGGCATGGCCGTGCTCCTCTCCCCGGAGCCGTGGGGCGCCGGCTCTTGCACCCCTAGGGTCCGTGCGCAGGCAGGGAGGCTGGTGATGGTGGGCCCAGCCTGCCCCATTTAAGTGGGGGCCAGGGGCCCCCAGAGTGTTAAGGGCTGAGGGAACGAGGGTGAAGGGTCTGGTGGTCATACGGCCTGGATCTCCTGGCCTCTCTCCCTCCTGTGAGTCAGGCGCGGGGTGCAGGATGCAAGCCCCCCTCCAGGTCCCCACGTCCCCTGCCCCTCACCCGCCCAGGGCAGCCACCAGGCGAGGGGCCGCTCCCAGCAGGAGGCACACAGCCGGGAACACAGCGCCGCCGTCTCCCCTCCACTCAGATGGACGCGGAAAATTCAGGGGTTCTGCAGCGTCAGCAGAGCTGTGCGCGGGCGCTTTTATCATGCCGCGAACACGCCGCTCCCGGGAGTGATAAGCATTAAACCCACCGGGAGGCTGTCGGCCTCCGTTTGAGGGTTTAGAAATATTGGGACGAACAATTAGATTTCATATCGTTACCGCAGCACCCATCGGAGGATCAGGCAGATTAATTTTTTTCTCCCTCCTCCACTCATTAATATTCATTAGAGACTCAGGGAGACCCTGGCCTCCGCCTCTCTGCTGGCCCAGGTCAGGATAGCTGGGACGTGGGCGCCGCCGGTCAATCGCTGCTGTGCCAGCACCCCCCCCCGGTCCCACTTTGGCCCCCCAGCCTGTCCGCAGCTGTGGGTGACGGGGACCCCCAGGTCTGCAGCTGCCCGTTAAAGCATGCTGCTTGGTGGAGACACTCGCCCCCAGTTGATACCTGGCGGTTGCTGGCCTGCCGCCCCAGTGGACATCAGCCTCCTAGGTCCGAAGGCTGTCCTCTGCCCACTGTGTCCTGTGGGCCAAAGGGAATGGAGAAGCAAGGGTGGCGGGACTCCTGTTTGTCCTGTGTTTGTCACGTGCCAGGCGGCTTCACACAGGCTTCCACTTCCCAGTGCCCCAGGGAGACTGAGTCAAAGAGGGATGTGACCCACCCCCAGAGCAGGTGGCAGCACAAGGAGGGTGGAGGGAGCCCACGGGCTCGGGGCATTGCCGTTTGCAGGGAGGGCGGGCATGGTGCTATTGGGCACAGTCAGGGAGTCTGGACTGGACCCGATGCCCAGCCCTGGAGCCCACATGCTCCCTGCAGGCAAAGCTCAGTAAAGCCGTGGTCTTGGACCAGGCGGGGAGATGCCCAGAACACGTCAGGGGACCTCCCATGTGTCACTGCTCCAGCCATCCCATCACGCTAGCTTCCTGGCCAGCTGCCCCATCCAGGTGACGGCGAGTGACACTGGGCCTTGAGTTAGAGCTTCTGATACACAGTTTGACTAAAAAGCTTTTATTTGCATAAAACAAAGAAAATACTCAGACACGAATGTGCTGTGCCTTTCCACACGGCGCCCAGTGGCGGAGCTTGGGGACCCCCTGCAGGAGAGGAGCCGTCCACAACCCATCCAGCCCTGGGGCTGTGGCCTGAGGGGCGGCTGCAGTCATCACCCTAACTTTCTGCAGCCAGTCAGGGCCAGGGTCTGTACCTCATCGCCTCCGTGTGGCAAGGGCCAGCCCCCTCCCAGAACCATGTAGGACAGGGCACGTATGTTTGCAGTGCCGCCTGGGGAGGGTGGGGGAGGGTGCCGGAAATCAGGCCACCCCTTCTGGGCGCCGCTGGCAGCCCCGAGTGAGAACCGAGGCCTGGCTCGCAGACCAGGCCGCTAGAGACAGCATGTCTGGGCGAGGGGCTGACCACGGTCTGCGAGCCGCAGGGAGGCCAGGTGCTGAGACAGTCCCACAGCTCACTCTGTAGGTCTCTGGGGGCCTGTGGGGGGGGGGCCTGTGTGTGGGAGGAGCCTGCGTCCGGTCCAGTGCCCCACCAGGGAGGGGCAGCAAGAACGGAGGTCCGGGTGTGCCTCCCCGCTCTGCCACTCACTGGCTGTGTAACTTTAGGCAGGTTGCTCCACCTCTCTGGGCCTCAGTTTCCAAGGGAAACCAGCACCTGACCCACGGCAGGCAGGCACTGGATCCCTACTGCATGCGTGTCGCCAGCGCTTGGCGAGGACCCACAGCCTGGACAGGGCGCCCACGGGGCAGACTCTCAGGCATCCCTCACAGGGAGCCCCCCGCTGCCCCAGCCAGCCTCTCCTCTCTCCTGCTGACTGTGTCCGAGGGCGTGACTGAGTCCTTGCTGACCCCCCCTCCCCGCCCCCAGAGCCCGGCCCTGACCCTGCTGCTGGAGGACGAGGCCTGCTGGCTGAGGACACTGCCCCGGGCCCTGACCGCGGCCGAAGCCAACTCGGAGATCTACAGGAAGGGTTGGTATCCTGGTGTTTCCCTCACTGCCTTCCGGAGGGTGGGGGGTCACGGCTCCCCCTGGGCCGGCTCTTAAAGGGAAACCAGCCTGCTTGGGCCGGGCCGAGGGGCTGGCCACCGCCGCCACCACACGCCCAGTGCCCCCATTAATGCTTGCCTAGGGCTGGACAGGCCCAGTGCCCCCATTAATGCTTGCCTAGGGCTGGACAGGCGTCGGCCCCGGGGGTCGGGGAGAGCGGGCCCAGGCCAGGACTGCCCTCAGGGCCTCTGGGAGACCACAGGGACAGTGGACACTGGCAGGGCCTGGTGGGCCCACCTGGGGGTGCCCACTGGACCAGGGCCCTGTGCGGCCTGACTCCCTCCAGGAGTGGTCAGGAGGGCCATGTCCAAACCCAGCTGGGGGGCCTGGGACAGGTCCCCTCACCTTCTGGGGCCTCTGTTTTGTGAAGCCGAGGAAAGCTCCACGTCCCTCCTGCAAACCTGCACTTTCCAGGAGTGGCCCTGGGAGGGTGGGGTGGGGGGACCCCCCCATTACAGATGAGGCAGCTCAGGTCCCGGGGAGGATGTGGGGAGCCACACACCACAGCATGGCCACGGGAAATCCACCTCCTTCTTCTGGGGCGGGGGGGGG